GTATAAGAGACAGGGCATCTCCTGCCGGCGAGCGCTCGGTAGCGCCTTTTCAGTAAGGGTTTAGCGGTACGCTCCGCGTGCCCCGGGTGAGAGCGGGCACGGCCCGTGGGGGGAGCGGCCCGCTGAGGGGTGCGAGGTGCGGGGGACCCCGCTCATGTCTCCGCTCGGGAGAAAACGTCTTGCAAAAGGAGCTCAACCTTCCCCCCCCCTCGCCTGCAGTGCCGCTGGAGTGTGGAGGGGACTTGTAACGCTGTAGTGTCACAGGGGTGCTGCTCGGCGGAGGTACGGTCGCCTGAAGGTTTTCAGGGGTTGTGTCAAGTTGTATCTCGTTCAGGGGGGAAATCTGCTGCCCTGAAGTAATGTAGTTCATGATGACAAAGGTGAAGGTGTGTTGTCCTCTCTCCTGTGCCTCTGATTTGAGGTTTGCATCCGAGTGAAGCTACAGTAACTCTTTACACTTGGTAAGATAGTGCCTGTCTTAGCTTCAGAGTTGGTTCCTCTCCTCCTCCCCCCCCCCCCAGCGAATGAGCATTTTCAGGTGTTGGGTGGTCTTGTGATGGAAAATGCTGCTGGTGAAACAAGAGACATGCAAACTGCGAGTATCCAAATATGTTAAAGTCCCTAAGATCCTGTTGTCACTGACATAAATCTTGCCGAGTAGGCAAACACGTGAATGATTTGGGGCTGGGAGGCTGCATAGGTTGACAGCCTGAGAGTTAAGCTCTCCACTGAGCTAGAAACGCAATCCTTCATCCTCCCCCCACAAGGGCAGCAGCATGCGTTGCTCTCCTAGGTGAGGATCACCAAGCGGAACGGGGTGTATGTGGTGGTTGGGAAACACTGCTCTCGGTCCTTTCTAGTCCCTAGGTGGGCTGTCTGTGTTGTCTTGGTTGCTGAGGCGGCTACGGACAGGAAGGAGGTGAGGGAACGCTTTCAGAGGTAGTAGTTGAAAGCACTTGCAGCTCAAGCTAGAAGTCATGGAACACTTTTGTGTTCTTTAGTGATCTGGAGAATTTAATGAAAATACAGTGGGTTTAAGATGAAAATGTACTCTAATGTGTTTGAAGTGCCCGAGGGCAACTGCTGGCAGGCTTGATGCCTCTGGGTTTATGCCGCGTTGCAGCCTTAAAGGTTTGAGTTTGAAGAACCCCTTGATTTGTCCTAGACTAATCATTTTGAGAATCACAGGTTGGTTTTGTGCCTGCTGGAGCTGATGTGACCCACAGCAGCAGAGCTTGTAGTGCAGCAGCTCATGCTCAAGGACAGAAATTGCTTCTCTGTGAGCATTTTTACTGTATATTTTACCTGGGATTTGACTCTCTCCTGTAGAGGAGGTGTCAGGTCAAATAAGCTGCTCAAAAATTAAAAGCTGGGAGAGGACAGGCATGAAATGGCAGTAGTTGCTCTTTGGATCTTGCTTAAAAGGTGTTCCGTGCACTATGTTGGTGCATGTTAGGAAACTGTATGGTTGGGTTTTAAGCAATACTTGGTAGGCAGGAGTTAACTAAAGTCTGACCTTGGCAGCTGCAGTCTTCACAAGTACTTGGGGCAGAATAAGGTGAGGCCTGAATTAGTCTGTAGCTGTCAGGAAGCACCTGGCCGCAATAGAAACCTGGAACACTTAAAAAGAAAAGAGTGTATTAATACCAGTTGGAGTTGCATGACTGTGGAACATATGTAAGCATCTGCATACTTCAAAACACAAGCCACTTGAGCTCAAGAGAATGATCTGGTCAACTGTGACAAGACTCCTTAAAGTGGAGAAGTTCAGATGAGGCTGTGACCCATGTCTGGTCAGTGAGGTTCTTAAATCTGTAGTGTTAAAGTGCAACACTATGTGTGCCTTAACCTCATCGGAGTGTATGCCAGCTCTTAAAAGCTTGTTTGCCCTCCACAAATGAGCAAAAGATTGGATTGGGGCAAGCATGAATATTTCCAGAAAGGTAATTTGATTATGCAGTGTGTCTGAAGAACAGAGTTGCCTACAAAGACTGGAGCGCAAATTGTATAGTTGTGTTACCTGACTTTGTAGCTGAAATTCTGTTCAGGATGATGAAGTGCTGTACATTCTTGCAGGAGCAAGTTGTACTTGGCCCTTAGCCCATGAGTGGTAGATGCTTGATGGTTAAGAAAGGAAAAACTTACATGATTTTTTCCTCTTCATACATATCTGGCATAATTAAAGCACTTTCAGTGGACTGGATCTCAAAATTCTGAAACTAACACCTGAGTGTCTTCCATTGTGTTAACTGGAGAGAGCAGTTTGAGCTTTATGTATAATGAAACAAGTTCATAGCTTAACTTTCAGAAGTGCTTTGCGCTTATGACTCCTCTGGCATCGGCTGGTGCTGCAGGTGGTATTAAATTTAGGTCAAGATTATGTGTCCTTTTCGTTGATGGTTTCTTTTTGACACAAGTTGCTTTGCTAAAGTAGTTAATTCTACCTCACCAAAAGCAGGACAAGGACAACTCAAATTTTGTGCCTGCACCAATAGAGAAGCTGAGCAATTGTTTCAGGTTAAAGACTTCCTGATAATTATTTTTACATAGAATTATTTCTTTCTAGTTTATGACTGTGTGCACAGGTGGAAACTTGGAGCATAGGATGTATCTAGGAAGCATGAACAGAAAGTCTGACTTGTCTTTTTCTTTTTTTTTTTTTATTCCACTTCCCTGCAGTTTCTTTTGGAGAAGAAAAACCTGAAGATGGCAGGCAAAGGAAGTAATGCAGACCGCATGTCGTGCAGCATACTGAACTGGGAGCAGGTCAGCCGTCTGCATGAAGTTCTTACAGAGGTGGTTCCAATCCACGGACGAGGTAACTTCCCAACGCTGAAGATAACCCTGAAGGACATTGTTCAGACTGTTCGGAGTAGACTGACTGAAGCAGGCATTGTGGTACGTGATGTCCGCCTGAATGGTTCTGCAGCTGGTCACATTCTGGTCAAGGATAATGGGCTGGGATGCAAAGACCTGGATCTCATTTTTCAAGTTTCTCTTCCAAATGAGGCAGAGTTTCAGTTAGTTCGAGATGTGGTGCTGCGGTCCCTCCTGAATTTCTTGCCGGAAGGAGTAAGCAAGCGAAAAATCAGCCCAGTAACACTGAAAGAAGCCTACATCCAGAAGCTAGTCAAGGTGTACACAGAGTCTGACCGCTGGAGCTTAATATCACTTTCCAACAAACATGGCAGGAATGTGGACCTGAAGTTTGTAGACTGTATAAGGCGACAGTTTGAGTTCAGTGTGGACTCCTTCCAAATCATACTGGACTCCCTGCTCTTTTACTATGACTACTCAGAAACCCCCATGTCGGAGCACTTCCATCCAACTGTGATCGGGGAGAGCATGTATGGAGACTTTGAAGCAGCTTTTGATCACCTTCAGAACAAGCTGATAGCTACCAAAAATCCTGAGGAGATCCGAGGTGGTGGGCTCCTGAAGTATAGTAACCTCTTGGTACGAGACTTCAGGCCCATGGATAAGGATGAGATCAAAACCTTAGAGCGCTACATGTGCTCCCGGTTCTTCATAGACTTCCCAGACATCCTGGATCAGCAGCGCAAACTAGAGACCTACCTCCAGAACCACTTCTCCAAAGAAGAAAGGAGGAAATACGACTACCTCATGATTCTGCGCAGGGTGGTGAATGAGAGCACGGTCTGTCTCATGGGACATGAGCGAAGGCAGACTCTCAATTTGATATCTCTGCTAGCTCTCAAAGTACTGGCAGAACAAAACATCATCCCTAATGCCACTAATGTTACCTGTTACTACCAGCCAGCACCTTATGTCAGTGACGTAAACTTCGGCAACTACTATCTTGCAAATGTTCCTGTGCCATACAGCCAGTCCTACCCCACTTGGTTGCCTTGCAATTGATTGACTCACTTGAGCGTTCTTGAGTGGAGGCTACTGGAGGCCCAGATGCTGAGTGTATATACAGACAAATAATTATCAGTTGGAGGTTTTTTGATGAAAACGTGACTGTGTTGGACTGTCCTTTTCCTGGTGTGCAGTAGGAATATGCAACTAGGTGACCTGCTATGAACCTCTCAGTATATCTCTACAAATGCCAAGAAGCCTTATTACCTCTTCATTAGGAGAAGAAAACCAGTAGCTAAATGTTAAGAGGAGTAGTTATGAAACTTGGTACTAATTCTGGAAGTGGCTCTTAACATGGGATCTAAGTGGAATATTCAGTAAACTAGGTTAGTTAATAGAGGAAGGACTGTAAAATGTCTTGAGCAGAGCAGAAGCCACTCCTGGGATAGTAGCAAAACTCTGCTTTCTATTGCCTAACCTCATTACTCTACACTTCCTCAGTTCAAGTTCTGGCCAACTTTCTATTGAACTAATTGTGGAAGAGTGGGCTTGTGTTGAACTTGGGCTGCTTCTACTTTCTGGCTGTGTAAAACTGGTAACCCTATGGATACTGTCTGTATTGTAGAGGGCCTAGGGATATATGGTCCTGCCTCAAGTTCAAGATAAATTTCTTGGAATTTAAAGATGGATTAGTTAGTCTATCTCTAAAGCATAAGCTGGCTAAATTTTTGAGTACAAAAATTTGGAAGAAGTCATCTCTAAATGTGCACCAAAACATGATCTAAAACTTGCTAATGTGAAAAGTCCTTGAAATAAGGAGTTGAAGCCTTAAATATGATTGGAACCACAGTTTGAACAATTAGGATGGAAGAATACTGTGAAGTCCAGACTCAAGATAAAACCTTTCTGACTGCATCTTTTCAGAACAATTTTTGGCACAGCTGGAAAGTAGCACAGTTCTTACACTGAGGTTTGGCCCAACTTTCTTCCTCACAGGTCCACAGGAAGAAAAAAAAAAAAACCAAAGCAAAACAAAAACACCCAACCTCAAACCTCCCAAACCAAAATACCACAAAAATCCACACCAAAAATACAAACCACCAAAAATCCCTAAATCATTGTAGGTTGCAGGATGATGTGCACCCCTGCCACAGTATAAAGTGCTTCCTAAAATGAATTTCTTGAACAGCTTTGGGCAGGTCCTGAAGGCTTGTCTTTCTGTCACCACTTAAGGGTTGAGATTACTGGTTTATCACCTGATCACTGTATAAGGTGGTGTTTTGAGTGGTTAGTCAAATTCTTCCCCTTTACTGGTCTTAACCTGCACTTGAAGAGGTATATAAACCCTAAGCAGAGCTCTCCGCAGGCACTGTATGTGGTGGAAGTCTGCTCGTGTTTTCAGAATAGCCTCTGGAAGAGTATGAACTCCCTTGGAGGTGTAAGGGGCTGACTTTCCTAAAGGGTGTGTGCTGAACTTGCTGCTTTGAAACTCCTGTGTTTTATAGGGAAGGTTAAGAATTCCCCAGTTATGTATATAGCTGTATTGGAAACGGTTTTATGAACTGGATGATTTTCACTGAATAGTAAAACACATATAGAAAATGATCTTGAGTTTGCTTAACCAGAGAAATAGAAAGGCAAATCTTAGAGCTATTTAATATGTACTGGTGCAATGTTTAAGAATACTTGTTTGCTAAACCTTTTTTATTACTTCTAGCTGTCTCTGCAAGCTTGGGAGACCAAAGTGCCTGATCAAACAAATGATTTAAGCTTAGAAGGTCAAGTGGAAAGCAGGTGAAACACCAATGTATGGTTTCTGTTCAAGGTGGAGAACAGTAACAACGCAGCACTCAGGACCAAAAACTTCTGGTTACATTGCAAGTTCTCTCACTCTTTATAACTACTTCATGAAGACTGCCTCAGTAAAGCAGTGAGCTTAGTCTTGTTCAGAGTTTTTTGCTTGGCTTAGGAAGGCAGGGAGCGATACAGTCTCAAAAGCAGACTGTAGCCAATCATGCTTTAGCTTAATTCTTTGAACAGTCACTAACAAACAGACAAATAATTTGGTGTTTTCTGTTGTGGTTTGTTTTTTTTTTTCCATTAAAGGCTTCCTGAGTAGTCAGCCAAAGTAGCTAAACTTGAAAGTGAACCCAGCCTTTTTCATGAACTGTGGCTTGGACTTGATGTAGCTTATAGACAAGGCATCTCTCACCTAAGACTTTGACTGTTTGGAAGACTTTTTAAAAACTAATATGGTACCAGTGTTGTTGTTTGTGTTAAACTTAGGGCAAGCTTTTTGCTAGGATGCAAACCCAGGTGTGAATAACTTCTGCATGCAATGCAAGAGCTGGCCTAGTATAGAGTATCACTAGAAAGAAGGAATTCTTTTGCTTAGGAGTTTGTAATTGCTATCATCTCTTAAATATCTGTTTTTAAAGCCAGCCGAAGCTATACTCATTGCAGAAGTACACCATTGCCTAGAGAGACATTGATTTGCATATAGCAAATAGCTTAGACTCGTGTATCTGTCTTGTGGGATCTCATGGCCAATCTTTAGAAACTTCCAGTGCATCAGCTCATGTGGAAGCAATGGTTAGGTGCTAAGGAGTCCTCCTCACAAGCTTGAAACAGACTTATGTTTTACCAGTCTTTGAACACCTTGGCTGCTGAACATCAGGTCAGGCACATCTATTGGAAAAGTGCTAGAAAGAAGGCTTTACTGGGTTTGTACTGAGACAGAGCTACAGAGAATTTAAGCTTTGTGCTGTAAGTGTTGTGCTTTTGATCATGTAACCTGTTGCTGAGGCTTCTAAGAAAGTTCTGTGGAATGCTTCCTCCCCAAGCAGCTGGCTTCCTGGGTTTAAGCTTTGCAGGACTGCTGCGTTCCCTGCCTGGCTCTTAGGTTGCTCTTGCATAATAAAAATATCAATGTTATATACCCTGGATGTTAAGCTCTTGAATAGTTAAACCATCTCCTGAAGCTGCATGCTACCTGCTGCATTGGTCCTGCTGTATAAGGGATTGCTGGGACACTCTTCATCTCATTGCCTTTAAAATAATCCTGGTTTGGCAGGTTAAGCTGGAATATTTGGTAGCTATTCATCACTGTGGTGCAAGCAGTCTACCCCTTTCTGTTTCAAGTTGTTTTAACAGTCTGCTGTTGCACGTGGCAGTGGCTTAATTTGGTGTGTGCTAGCTGGTTTGAATTCAGGTTTATGATGGCCTCTGGAGCAAGGAGTAACATGAGTGCTAAGTAAAAGCGGGTAAAAATGATGACCCAAGGCCAAGTCTAGGCTGTCGGCTTGATTCAGTCTCCCTTTGGTACTTAATGATGCCTCTGCAGACCTGCTCTATCTGCTGTTGCTCACTTGCGTGTCAAATGGAGGTTAGAGAAAGACTGCTGTACTCCAGACTATTACCCTAACACATTCCCTTGGGGCAGTGGCATCAAAACGAAGCTTCAGTAACACTAGACTGCAAGTCTTGTATCAGTGTATCATTCCTCAGGACTAGGCTTCTAGTCAACTAGACTGTGTGGTCTAAAATAGCTGTTTTCTTCCTGTAACTTAAGCTCTGCTGGGCTAAGCCAGTCTGAGGTTAAGCATCTATTGTCAATATTTATTGCCAAGTCCTCTTTGACTTCCAGTTTATTGGTGTGACTTCTTCATTGTAAAATAGATTTTTTTCAGTTTTATAAAGATGCTACCTAGGAGACAGAGTAGTAGGCTAGATTTTAGTCACTTTGGTAAAATCCCTAGGCTGATTCACGGTCGCTCTGAAAAGTTGTAAGGCAAAGCATGCTTTGTGCTTCCTCAGCTCAAGATTTAATTGTTGCTGTGTTTGTCCTCAGCTAGTTCAGTCAATCACTAAGCGGAAGGTTGAAGACTACTGCTTGCTTTGGAGTAATGATTTTTCCAAAGATTCTTACACTTTAACATTAATAATCTTGTCTACAAAGCGGTAGGTAGTATTTAAATCTAGTCTGAATACCTAAAGCTTTTTATTGAAACTTAAAGACCTGTATTTTGGGATTGAGTTCTGGGGTTAAGTATTTGGTATGTTTTGTGCCCAGGCTTTGTGGGTTTCTGATCACTAGAATAACTCTTAATGTTGACAGTGACCTCTGCTTATGACTGAATGCTTGGGAAAAGGCCTATTAGAAGAGAACTTGGACAAATTGCTTCAGTTCTAAGCTGTCTGTGTACTGATGGTGCTTGTTCACTATCCCTCTCACTCAACTTGTTCAGTCAAGGTGCTTTGTTAGGCACAGGAATAAGCAATAAGTTGACCATAGTCACTGGCAACTTGGTCAAATTTGGGCACTGGGAGAGCCAAATGGATAGTAATATTTCTAGCCTTTGCATCTAAGTCTTACTCGAACGTTTGTTACATATTGTGAAGTGTATTTCATATATGTTCTTTAATTTCAATAAAACTAGTTATGAAATGGGATCCTGGGCTGTAGTTTTAGAAGCTTTGGGGGGAATGGTTGGAGCAGTCTGGTTTTCCTCACTCATATTGGAAGAGAAGGCCACTCACTGAAATGTCTGGATTGGGCTTGTCTCTTTCTTATTAAAATTGCACTTTCTGTTGAAATTTAGAAGGCTTTTTTTCTATGTTTATCCCTTATATTATGTACTATTAAAAGAAGTCAGCTTTTGGAAGATCTGTCTCATACCTCTCTGGAAGAAGTGAGTCTGTTTTGTTTTTAAGCTGGCAAAATGAGATATTTGGATTTATGATGAGCCCTAATGTGAGACTGGTCACAGAACTTTGTCTACTGTTCTGCACTGTGGTGTTCACTTGTCATTCTTGGAAACTGGGGTTTGGACCTTAATGATTCTGAAATACTTGTGCAAATAAACTCGTGCTAAGCATTGCTTGCCTCGAGTAATTCTTACATCTAAATAGTGCTGACAGAGTATTTGTGGAACTTATTGGTCAATGTGTAAAAGTACACTGTGGGGAGAAGTAGTGATGGGATATACAGTGATGCTTGGTTTTAGATGTTATTCAAGTACTTTTTTTTTTTTTTCCCCTCATGAATGTACACATCTACCTCAGCTTACTGAAGGTTAATTGGTTAAGTGAGACACAATTCATCTTTCACTCACATTATAGTGACTGCTTCTATTTTTGTCCTGTCTGACCATTTTCTGGTCTCGACTTTAAAACATTGAGGCACAGCCCTACACCTATTGGGTGATGTCTGGTGTGAGCTAGAGCCTGACAGTCTGTTCTATGATGCACTCCAGTTTATATGCTGCTTCCAGTCAGGGGCCCCTGCATACATCAACTCATGAGCCGAGGGGAGCGTCAGCAAATGCTCTTCAAGGTATTTACAGGTTGAAAGTCTTTGTGCTTTCACTCTGTGTCCAAAGAGCTGATGCTTCTACATAGTGGTGGTCAATGGGGTTGAACCCCTGAAAGCTAAATAAGAGTTAGGGGTATGTGGCAGTCTACTTGCTGCTACTCTTGCTCTAGGATCAAAAATAAATGGACTGTAATAAGTGAGCTTGCTTCTAATCCCCTCCAGAGCTCAGACAAGCTCTAGCCTCTCAGCTAAATAATGCTGGAGAAATTCCAGTCTTCAGGACCTTGTAACACCTGCAGTTGAAACTTATGTG